CTGAAGGTGGGGAAAATAAAAAAAATAGTAAGTGAAAGAAGAAATGATTTTTTTAGGAATGGATTAGAACTGAAGTTATCTGTGTGAACTCATAATTTCTAAAATAAGTACGTTTATGTGTTTATTTTTTTCCTAGTTCTGCCCACTGAAAAGAGCTAAAATGGAATGACCCTACAAGAGCCAGGAGTGTAATTACCATTCATCTCTTGACCTCTAACACACTACAGATTAAAAGCAATCAAGTACCCCCAGAGAAATGACTGGCTGCAGTTCTGGAGCACAGTAGGCATGAGATGAATCTTTTAACATTTTATTGTTAGAAAGAAGAAATGCTTTCCTTTCTACCACCCTCCCTGCCATTCCCCATCCCCCAAAAATATAGCTGCTGATAGGGGCCCACCAAACCTGGAAAGTTTACATTCAGCAGAGTTCATGGATAGCAGGTACCTCCAAGTAGAGTATAAGACAGTCTTTGTACATTTTTTTCCCTGTAGTTTATTTAGTCATGAATCATAAATCACTGAGGAGGAAATAGATGTTCATGGATCCATTCTGATAATAAATAATACATTCATAGAAAAGGGCTCTGGCCAACAGTAAAATGACAAAGTCTTGTTTATAAATATGGAGGGAATGTTGGAACTGAAAAACCATCAAACTGCAACCTTACTGATAAAAATCGAATCAAGGGAGTACCAATGCATACTAAATTTGGGGGTGAGATAAGGTTTGAGCAGATATTTTGGATGGTTAAGTATCTATTTTTCAATGAGCAAATCAAGGACGAACATTGACCACATACTCAAAATTAAATTGCTCAATGAGGGATTGATGGATAGCAAATACTCCAATATGATACCATGAAAGAAACACAATATCATCATCATTTTTCCCATAAATTCATAATCTCATTCTGATCACTAAGAAACATCAAACAAATCCAAAATGTGGAAGGGGACTATACTCTTCAAAAATACTAATGTCACAGCAGTAAAGAATGGAAGTGATCCATACTGGAAAGCCATCAAAGCGACATTAATTAAATGCAAAACTTGATTCTAGACTAGATCTGGTAGTAGAGAAAGCTCTAAAGTCCTTATTAGGCAAAACAAAACTGGACTATGAATGATAGACTTAAAAAAATTATATGAATGTAAATTTCTGGACTTAACAGCTGTCCTGAGGTTATGTAAAAGAGTTCTCTTTCTCTGAAGTATTTAAATATGTGTATCAGAAATATATAAATATTAAATATGTGTATCAGAAATATATAAATCAGAATCCCAATGATTCAGAAAAAACAAGATTGACAATGTATCCAGGTAATTATCTACAGAAAGAGATCATTAATGATAAAGCAAATAGGGTAAATATTAATAGAAAAAATTAGATAAATACCAATTAAGTTTGAAGTTATTTCCATTCAAGTCAAATTTTTAAAAGCAATGAGTTTTAAACAACTATCCTAAATGACTGCATTTAGCAACTAAGGAGTCAAATTTTCCTTTAGCGTAAGTTGATTCCTGTTAAACTATGAATAATCGTAAATGTTCCTGTTTACTTAAATGTTACATGTAATCAGTTCACAAGTCTATGTCCTTGCTGCAGGTGAGTAGGTTTCTACACACTATCCATAATACTCACGTATACTCATCTGCCCCAAATATGCCCCTAAACAGGATCTGGAATTTACATAAACAAGCAGGTCGATGTGTTTTAACTCATATTTGTGATTTAAAATTTTCATAGAATCCTTTTCATTGAAGCCATTACAAACATTTCTAGGTTGAGCTAGCCACTCTTCACTTTTAGTATGTATTAGTATTTTCCACTTGCAATAATTATATATTTATATACCTATACTGTCATTCCTGTGCCAAACTGAGACTTCCACATCTGAGAAAAACATTTCAACTGTTTTGTGTAGCACTGTCTGTCTTTCTATACCTTCCGGAAGTTTCACTATCTAGGTCTTTTTGTAGTAGACAAAATTATACAACTATTAGAGTATGTTCCTTTGAAACCTTTGATGTTTCATTTTTTAATAAGTAGAAAGTGAACAAGGAAAGGACCAATAGTAATATTTTAAGCAAAAATGGAAGCCATGAGGATACCAAAGAATAAATCTTTAGCCACAGAATTTTTAAAAACTTAAAGAATGTAAACTATTTTGCCAAAGAAAACAAATTCTCAACATCCCTCTAGTCATCAGGGAAAAACATGACCTTTTTTTTTTTTTTTTAAGGTTTTCAGTACCTATTCTCTAAAGAAAAAGTTCGAATACTGTATACACGTCCTTCTCCAACCACCTTTATTCAGCCTTCAACGGTCTCATTTCTTTACTTAAATTGAAAGGCATCTTAAGTACAGGTCAAGATCCCTAGGTTATACAAATCAATCTAAGGACAGACAGCTGACGCCTAAAATACCTGAGTGCCCTCATGTACTAGCATCTACTAGAAGATCATCAGTGATAAGTTTTACGAGGGAGTGTTGGGGCAAATACAGTGAGACTTTAGAGACTGTTAAAACACATAACTGCTTTTCCTTGGTCTTTACCCACACTATCATAATGCTACACTGGGCTTCTCTCATTTTCTCTCTCCTAAACCATTTTACTCTACTGTTGTGTCCCCGTTTCACGTGAACTATCTCCCCTAACCTTCAATTTCTTCACTGAAAATTCCTACCAAATCTAACTCCATACTGCCTTCCTTCCCTGTAAAATTCTCTAAATAGAGGAAACATACTCTCCAACACCTCAACCCAGAATATCATTTCAGAGGCCTGCGGCAGTAGTCTGTCATGCTGCTATTCCTTTCTCCGTCTTTCCTTATTACTCCCATCTACCATTCTGCCTCACTAGCCTTTGCCAAAGACTCTTGTTCCTAGCTCCTAATCTTCCTTTTCACTCAAGTCCTGCCATCATCCTGGGTGACTTTAATGTCATATGAAAGAGCAATCAAACATCTTGACTTCATGGTTTCCTTGACTTCACCTGCAGCAACTTTACCTACTCAACTTTAGGCCTTGTCCCATGATCATTATGGAATTTCATATTCAACATCTAACACACAGGCACGGACACAATCCTACTTAGACTACAGCATCCTATCATTCTGGTGTTCTTATTTTTATTCTTATTACTCTTAGTTCTTAGCTCTAATTTGGATACCAAGCTGACCTTCTATTCTCTTATCAACTCCATTTCTCTCTTCTTTACAATCTTCAACTTTGATATCACAGCCCATTATTTCAATCTACTCTCTTACTATTACCCCCACCTCTTTGATTATTTAGCACTGGGTCCATCTTTGAACACACAACCTTGAATTTGCCTTCTCTGAAACTATACCCAGACTTTGGGCTCACCCTATCACCATATATACCATCCCTTTGATTTTGACTGTCTGCTAATTAGAAAACATTTCAGGTCTCTTTCACCCAAGCATGTTCCAGTGACTCTCAGCAAATAATCTAACACCCTGCTTTAAAAAACAAACATATCCAACAATTTGAACCGGAAGCCAAAAAACCCTAGCAACACCCATATTTTATTCTTTCACTACAAAGTCCTTCAAATTCTTCCTTCCTAAGTGAAATCCTCTACTTGAGGAGTCGTATCTCCTCTTGACTCTGAGACATTTTTAATTAAGAAAAAGTCCTTCTGCAACCCCACAATCTCTCTTGTACTTGCAAACACTTCTCCACATTCTCAAACCACTTAGAAATTGTCAACATTTATTATCCATTTGCTCACGTCCCATTCACGCAACCCTAGCACTGCCCAAACTCACTACTTGCCACTATCAAGCCAATACCTTCCCTCACTTTTTTCACAAATTCACAATTTTTATCTTAACTGATGTCTCTAGTATTTGATAATGTTGAACACATCCTCCCACCATCAAATCACATCTTGGCTCTACCTAGCTGATGACTCATTTTCATTACTATTTCTGAACTCGGGCAAGTACAGATATCATCAAGGTCCCTCACATCCATCACTTTTGGCTGTCTCATAGGTACCTTAATAAAAACATATACAAAACTGAAGTTTCCAATTTTGCCTTTTAAGCCTACTTTACTCTTTCACATTTCTTTAGTTCCTGATTTAAGGTGATTACCATCTGAGGTGATACGCAGAGCAACAACCCAGGGTCTGTGTAGTGTGTCTAAATCCTTCCCCTATTTTCATATCCATCTTCAATCAAACACCAAGTCCAACACTCCCACTCTCATCCCACTGCCTTAATGTTGATCATCTCTTTCTTAAATTACAGCAATAATCTTTAACTGTTCTCTCTACCACTAAGTGCTACCCATCTTCAATAAACAAGACAGTAAATACACAATAATCACTAGTTTTATAAGGGGGAAAATCTAAATTAAAATGTTAAATAAAAAAACACATGTTCAAATCACTTCACATAAATCAAGTATTAGGAAAAATGTAGCGTCAAGACCAAAAAATGAGAATGAGTACATATATCATTTCGTAATTTACCCTTTCCAACCAAAAGTCTACTACTCAATTTTTTAATGTTAATTTATACTTGACACTGGAAAATGAGACATTATATTGAAGTATTAGAAAAGTTAATGAAATGCTCTTTAATTAAAAATGTTAAATGAAGTGTTTTTAGGAAAACAAAAAAAATACATCAGAAAATGCTTTTGCTCTTCATGCTATCAAGAAACACTAAAGCAAGTGAAAAGAATGACACTGAAGTCAATTCTAATTTAAAAAATTCTAATTCCATGGTACAATATAAAAATGAACAATAAGTAATTGCATGAAAAAATTAAAAGCAAGGATGAGTGGCGACTGCAAGCAAGATCCAAAAAAAAAAAAGCTAAAACCTTCAAACAAGACAGAATTCTTACCAATGTAATATATTTGACACTATAAATGCAATAGACTACCCAAATGTAGCAGAATGTCACATGATAAGAAAAAATAGTGTCAAGAAGAACAAAACAACATATGGACTGATTACCTGAAGTTTTACTCAGCTCTGCTGAAAATATAGCAGATGGTGATCTTTTCTCTTTTTCTGTATCAGAAGGAAGTTTTTTCTCAGCTTCTTTCAAAAGAACTTTAGGTTTAACTACACTGCCTATCTCTGTTTGAGTGGGCAAAGCAGGAACATTTGGAGGCAGTAAGGGCACCTTTGAAATATCAGGCCTATCTTTGGAGAATTCATCTGAGACACAAACTTCATCTTCACCTTTAGGCTGTTTTACAGTCTTGAAAGAAAGAGTACTGGGTAATTCTGAGCAAGGCAATGACTCAACTCCATCCTGGACATTAGCTATTTCACTTTTGCAGGATACTTCTAGGTCAGTGTATTCCCTGACTATTTGAGGAGAAAAATCAGTTTTCGAACTGACAAATGTAGGGAATTCATCTATAATCTCAATTGGAGAAGAATCTGAAAATGTTTCACTCTCTCTTATTTTTGCTTCCTTAGAAATAAATAAGCCATCATTTGAGTAAACTGCAGTATTGAGCTCTTCCATCTGCAAAGGAATTTTCTCCTTTTGGGTAAATGTTGAAACCCCATCAGGTGATAAGGTACCGGTTGTAGTATCTAAATTGGGCTGAAATGATTCCAAATATGGCTTTCCCACCTCGGGAACTGGTGAAGCACTTAATTTTCCCTTATTTTCTTGTTTGCTCATTGACTCAGATGATGTTTCAGTGAGATTTTCTTTCACAAGAACCATAGCCTCCTCTTGTTTAGGAGGAACGTCAGATATTGAGTCATCACTAAATAAGTCAACTGGTTCAGAATCAGGTGAAGAATCTTCAACTAGCTCAGAATGATCAGGCACTGGCTGTGCAACTTTTGCTGTTTCTGAATAATTAGAATAATCTGGCATTGGTTCAGTAGAAAGTTTTGTTTCTTTAATCAAATCACATGCAATAGATATATAAGGAGTTTCTGTATCTTGAGCACCTGCATTAATACCTTCAGTTTTACTTCCTTCCTTTATTAGTGATACATTCATGGCCTCTTCATAGGGGGGAGGATTTTCAGGCTCAAGTTTCTTGCTTTCATAATTAACTATAGAAGGAACTTCTAAAGGAGATGAACTGGGCTGCACTGCAGAAGCACCAGCACTTGGAACTATGGAATTTAATGGTGCTTCCATAACAATGTCAGGCAAAACTGGTGACGGAGTAGCTTCAGATTCTTCAAATGATGGGCAAAGCTGAGCAACAGGGAATAGAGACTCTTGCATAGTTTCTGATGTCTGCACCAAGTCCATTTTTGTTTCAAAAGCAATCTTTGTAGCCGTCACTTCACTCAGTTCACTTTCACATGCTTCCTGTACCAAATCTGGGGTTAGGCCTTCAGGCATATTTGCCACTATTTCCCCAGTCACCTTTGATAAATTATCTGTTGTGACATAATCTGTTGTCTCAGCATCCTGTGTTGCTACAAGGAAAGGATTTGATGTTTTGGTGCTAGTATTCTTCTCCGTTGTAATTTGGGCCTTCTTCTCCTCTATTTTTTTTTCATCTGTCTTATTTGCTGAAGCACGGTCCTCCAACAAAGGAAAAATGTTTGTTGATATTCTCTCAGTTGCATTTGGGTTAAAGGGAGCACATGTGATATATGCTCCTGAACCACCCTTTATAGCTTCTGGTGTACTGGGAAAAGAGATATCATCATTACTGCTTTCGCTATCTTTCCCATGACTTATTTCCTCAAGGCTACCTGCAAAACATTTCTCTTCCATTTTACTTTCTAGCTTGCCCTCTATATTACTTCCAGCAGCCAACACAACACTATCTTCCTTATAAGTCTTCTTCATTTCCCATACTTGTTCAAATGGTTTGAAGTCTGCATATTCTTCCCTCAAAGGAGCTTCTGCTGCAGTTCTCTCTTCATTAAAACTGTCCTTTGTTTTTTCTGGAGACACAATTTTGTCCTCTTTAACTGATTTAGTCAGGGCTACAGGTAACGCCTGTTGATTATGAAGGATGTTATTACTAACTAAATCATTATCTTCCTCTTTATTCTTCACAACTATCTCTTTCCTAGGGTCTGCTACTATGGCAGATTCTACTTTTTGGGAACCATTTAATGATGATGATCCCATTTCTGAGTATTCCAATTCTGAAAATTCTGTTATATCTTTGTCTATAAATGGATTTTTTGCCTTCTCTGAGAATGCATTAAAAGTTTCATTTGAAGTTTCTTGATGTGTTTCTTTGGTGGGTAATACTGATAAATTACCAAGGTATTCCTGTTCTTTAAAAGAAGCAGCTGAGAAGGGAGATAGAGAAGGAAGAGAAGCAGCAGTTTCAAGCAGGACAGATGAGAAATCCTCTTGACCAGTGGAAACAGTGTTACCTGGCTGCTCCTTCAAGTCCATAATTTTTTCTGTGACCATGGACAGAAAGGAAAGTTAGAGAATGCCTGTGTTCTCAGAGTTAATGCAAGTTTTATGATAGATTCAAAATAGTGTTTTAGTAACTTACGGTTAACTAAATTAAATGTTAGTAACATTTTATAAATAACCAAGTAGACTTGAATCATTACTGAAAAAATTTAAAGTTACTGTCAATAAAACCTGTGCACAGCTACAGAGGTGATTACATGCTACACAAAGGCACAGATCAAGTCGTTGTGAAAACCCTCAAAACCAACAGAGAAAAACTACTTTTAACTCATTTAAGAGGAAGGAAAGAAAATTTAAGAGAAGAGTTTGACAGTAATAAAAGAAAGGGAATTAGATAATTAAATGCCATAGACAAGCATTCATTTACAAGAAAGCTTTACACTATAAGCAAAAAAACTGTACTCCAAGGCTCGTATTTAAATATGTAAATGAAGGATCTAAGAATTCCTTACATAATTCTGATTATTACGGTTTCTACCTATTTTTCTCTTGTATACTGCATCTAATGCATAAATTTCAGATTTTTTTAAGTAGACAAACATTCTTGGAACCATACTAATATTTAGTAAATTCAAACTACTCTCTACATTTAACAAAACTAAAGAGTTAAAGCTAGAATACAGAGTATAAATGGCTAGCAGAAAGAACTTGCCTGCAGAGGAGTGTATCACAGGCTCAGATGCAGCAGGAAGAGCAAAAAGTGTCTCATCTGAAAAACAAATAGAATATAACCTCAGCAGAAATAAAGAAAGTTGGAAGGAGACTAAAGAGCAGCAAGCAAAGATTCAGTTTGCAATGGGATAACATAAAACTGTATCTACAAAGAAAAGGCCAAGATGAATAGGTAAAAGTAGTGCCACTAGTAGTACCAGATTGTTATCATGGACTATAAAGTTTAATATATCCATAATTCATATCTACGTCTTTATAGTCTCTATATGCTTTAATCATATTCATAAGTCTATCAAGTCCTATTCGGGTCAACAATTTACGAGATGCATTTGAATAAAATTAATCAATACCTTTTATTTACTTTTACTGACATGTTAAAAATGCAGAACACGGGCCCTCCCTGGTGGCGCAGCGGGTTAAAGCACAGCACTGAGAATCTAAAGCCACTTCCGCATGAGTTCGATTCCCGCCTGCCCCG